TACGGATACAGCACATATGCCACACACATACTATAACCACCTCACACCACACACCACATATATACCATGCCCACCTCACACACCCCACACATTTACCCCATATACACCACACACACTATTCCCACCTCATACACATACCCCATACACAGCACATGCATATCATACCTACCTCACACACACCATACACGTAACATAGCCACCTCACCCCACACACCACATATACACCATGCCCACCTCACACACTGCACATATTGACCCTATATACACCACACACACATCATTCCCACCTCACACACATACCCCATACACGCCACACACCACACACATACCCACTTCACACACCACATATATACCATGCCCACCTCACATATGCCACACACTTACCCATATATAGCACACACACTGCACACACACATCATACCCACCTCACACACACCATACACTTAACCCATATATTCTACACATGCACCACACCCATGTCATACCTACGTCACATACACTACACACATATCATACCCACCTGTCACACACCACAGACTTAACCCATATACACTACATACACACCACACACGTATCATACCTCACGCACACCACACACACCGCATAGACACCACACAGACACCACATACATATACCCACCCCACACACCACACACCATATATATGTCATGCCCACCTCACACATACCACACACTTAACCCATAAACACCACACACATCATACCCACCTCACACATACCACACACATATAACCACGTCACACACACCACACACGTATCATATCCACCATACACAACACATATACCCACCTCACACATACACCCCATACATACCACATGCATATTATAACCACCTCACACATATTGCGTATATACCATGCTCACCTCATACACACCATGCACTGAACACATATACACCACAGATACCACACACATATTATACCCACCTCACACACACCACACTGCACACTACATATACACCATGCCCACCTCACACATTGCACATATTGAACCCATATACACCACACTCACCACACACATACCCCATACACACCACATGCATATAACCCCCACACACGTCATGTATATACCATGCCCACCTCATACACACCACGCACTTAACCCATATACACCAGACACCACACACATATTAAACCCATGTCACAGACACCACACAACACCCCTTATACACCACACACATCATGTCCACCTCACAAACATCACACACATACTTTACACACATCATGCACTCTTCACATGTACCGCACACCACACATATACCCCATACACACCACACACACCTTATATACACACAACACACATACCACACTCACCGCATAATACCATACATACACCATATACATTTCATACACACCACACACCCCATACATGCCACACACACACAGACACTTCATAAATACCACATACACAGCAAACCACACTCGACATACATATTACATCACCTGTACAACACACTGCATTCCACCAGACAACTTATTCACACTACACAGATACCACACACACCACACAATGTCATACATACACACACCATACACACCTCATATACATGACACACATCCCATACACACCACATATACTACACACACCTCATACAACCACACAGTTACACCCCATACCTACCACACACCACAAACACTACACCATGCACATAAAGCATACGTACACACTCAACCCTTCCACACTATATCATACTGCACACTATCACATTGATATCACTCACACCACATACCACACACCATACACAGTACACTACACACACACACCACACCCTCCAGGACACCCTGCCACCATACACACACACAGCACACACTCCCTACTTCCCACACCACACACACTGTATCTCACGCACACACCACACAGCCCTGCCACACACCTTTGCATGCAAACTACTCGTTTTGCATTCAGACTACTCAAATGAAACCAAACAATTTAGTTTTTTCCCAAATTAATACTGCTTGTCTGCGCACCCCAGCTGTGCTGGCTGGCACATCCCCTGGTCCTGCCCTCCCTTGGGTCAGCACCCCCTCCTGTGTTTTGGGTGTCTCTGGCTGTGCCCTGTGGAGTGCTCATGTCTGGATCGCATGGGAAGCTGGCCCCTCTGCTCCAGTGGCTGCTTTCCTGGAGGAAACTGGCTTGTTTGCCACCTTTCCTGATGCCCAGAGCAGCGGCTGGTGCAGGAAGACCCACTTCCTTCCCTCGGTGTCTGCCCTTCCCCACGGGACATTTTGTCTCAGTTCTGACATCTCCCCAGCTAGAAGAGAGACCCTCAAAGACGAGCAGGTCAGTTTGATTATAATGCTGGTGAACAATCAGTGTGTTTTTGTAAAACAGTCAACCAGTACATACATCTTTAATAAAGTAAAATGTGCACAGCCCCGCTGTTCCCACCTCTTTTCCCTCCCCTCCCCAGAGGACATGGCTGACAGGCCATTTGGGGCTCCCCTTTTCTGTGTGCCTTTGTGTCTGTGTATGGGCTGGGGAGTGTGTGTGTATTCTGTAGCCATTTTGACAGAGCTGGAACTGGGATCTACACACGTGCGCTTGCTGTAGCTCACTTGCCATTTTCCCTCCAAAACAGGCCTTTAAGATCCCCCACTGTAGTGCGTGTTGTCCTGCCTCTTTAAAAATGTTGTCAACTCTTGCAGCATGCAAACTCTGCCATCATTTATTTAACCATTCTTTTATTTACGAGTACTTAGGTCATTTCCAGTTTTTTAAAAGATGCTGCGGTGAAAATCTTCAGCTGTCATTATTCATGTTGCTGTGGGAGAATGTGGTGGGAGGCGCCATGGGAGTGAGTGACCCCATGTGTGGCCAGGCTTTGTGAGGTTTTGACTCTGTCCTTCCCAATGTTCCTCCTACAGTGGCTGCCCCTAGGTGATGATGGCTCTGTGGGTGCCCACCATGGCCCACTGGAAGTGTGAGAGCGCAGGGAGCAACATGTTGGACCACAGGGTGAGGCCAGGCCCTGTCTCCCACGGCCAGGAGCGAGGACGTGGAGCTGCCCTAGGAGGGCTGTGTGCCCGAGTGCCAGGAGCTGGCTGCCCCGTGGCCAGAGATCCTCATGCCCGAGGAGCAGGAGTGCCACTACCTCAGCCTTGATGGGGACTCCAGCTTCGACTATGTGAATAACACCTCTGAGGAGAAGGACTACGACAAGAGCCTGCCTGAGGAAGAGGGCATCACCTATATATCTGCTACCGCCCCGAGGATGACAGCTACCTGGAGGGCATGGACTACAACTGGGAGGTGTACCTGGCCCACGGCATGCATCCTGTGGACACCGACGAGTGCCAGGAGGCGGTGGAGGAGTGGGTAGAGGGCAGACCCGGCGGACCTGCACCCTTACGGCCATGGGGCTGTGGGAAGCCAGGATTACCCGGACGGCCACCTGCCCATCCTGGAGGATGAGCCCTCTGTCCTGGAGGCCCATGACCAGGAAGAAGATGGCCACTACTGTCCCAGCAAATAGGGCTACCAGGATTGCTACCCCCTGGAGGCCAATGGGAACACCAGTGCCTCCCTCTACCACCTGAGGTGTGGGGTTGGGGACGTGGAGGACCAGGAGGAGGACATCAACCAGATCGTGGCCGAGATCAACATGAGCCTGAGCATGACCAGCATCACTAGCACCAGCGAGGCCAGTGATTCTGCAGAGGCCAGCCTGCCTGCCCAGCAAGACCAGCTGCAGCCCCAGCAGGCACAAAACGAGGCCCAAGTCACTGAACCTCCCTCCTGAGGCAAAGAACCGTAGAGACCCTCAGAGAGGCTTCAAGCCCAAGATCAGGACCCCAGAGGAGATGCTGAAGTGGCCCCACAAGCAGGTAGGACTCTGGCTGTCTCAGGGAAGGGAGCAGAGGGGCCCAAGAGCAAGAAATGTCCCGGTACAGCCCCCACATATGCTGAAGTGAGGCGGTGGGAGGGGTTGTGTGCCTTGCAGTTTTTTTTTTTTTGTTTTTTGTTTTTGTTTTTGCCTTGCGGTTCTAATGGTGGATGAGCTCTTCATTGGTCCAGTTGCCAGGCATGTTGTGTGCATGTTCCGGCCACTCTTATGCTCACCCCTCAGACTCAGGAGTAGAGTCTTGTTGAAGACTGATTGGCAACTAGTTTTTGGCAGAAGATGCCTCTCCTCCCACCTAGAAGTGGTTCGATATCTTCCCCACTGCCCTGGATCTGCTTGTGGTGGGGCAGTGTCTGTGGGAGAGCCCCTCAATCCTCAGGGGTGTACTTGTTCCAGCGAGGCAGTGGCAAAGATATGGCCAGTGGTGGGTGGCCTGGTGGCTGGGGTGGGGCCTGGAGTGTATTTCGTAGTGGATAGGTCTCTGAAAGCCCAGGGACCTTGGCCTGAAGGGCAGTTAGCTGTGAATAACTATTTGGAAAAGGATCCTGCAGATCTGATCTTACAGCATTGTTGCATAGGTGTATACATGCCATGGTGGTTTGCTGCCTCCATCTCCCTGTCACCAACATTAGGTATATCTCCTAATGAGAATGATGGTTTCCAGCTTCATCCACATCCCTGCAAAGAACATGAACTCATTCTTTTTTATGGCTGCATAGTATTCCATGGTGTATATGTGCCACATTTTCTTTATCTAGTCTATCTTTGATGGGCATTTGGGTTGGTTCCAAGTCTCTGCTATCGTAAACAGGGCCACAATGAACATATATGTGCATGTGTCTTTATAATAGATCGATTTATAATCCTTTGGGTATATACCCAGTATTGGGATCGCTAGGTCAAATACACAAGAAAAAAACAACCCCATCAAAAAGTGGATGAAAGATATGAACAGACACTTTTCAAAAGAAGACATTTATGAGGCCAGCAAACATATGAAAAAATGCTCCTCAGCACATCATTAGAGAAATGCAAATCAAAACCTCGTTGAGTTACCATATCATACCAGTTAGAATGGCGATCATTAAAAAAATTGTGACAACGGATGCTGGAGAGGATGTGGAGAAATAGGAACACTTTTACACTGTTGGTGAGAGTGTAAATTAGTTCAACCATTGTGGAAGACAGTGTGGTGATTCCTCAAGGATCTAGAAATTGAACTATATATATATATAATTCTTTAACATACATGATCTATATCTTAGAATGTAGAATATAATTCTTTAATATACATAATCTATATCTTAGAATATATTTATAAATACCTTAGACATAAGACATGCAAATATTTTCTTTTATTCTATGGATTGCCTTTCCACTCTTTTGAACATATTCTTTGATGCAAAAGAGTTTTAAATTTCAAATAAGTGTAATTTATCTACTTTCAATTTAGTTGCCTGTGTTTTTGGTGTTTCATCTAAGAAAGCTTTGCCAAATCCAATATTATGAACCTTTCCATTCTGTTTTCCTGTAAGACTTTAGTAGTATTAGCTATTGCATTTACCTCTTTGATCCAATTTGAGTTAATTTTTTGTAGAGGGTGTAAGGTAAGCATCTAACTTTTTCTTTGGCATATAGATATCCAGTTTATGCAGGATCACTTTTGTTCGAAATACTGTCTGCTTGGTCTGCTTGTTTTTGTTCCCCTAAAGTTTATATGTTAAACCCTAACCCCCTTGATAATGGTATTAAGAAGTGGGAGCTTGGAGAGGTGATTAGTTAGGTCATAAAAGTTTCATCCTCATAAATGGGATTTGTTCCTTTATAAAAGAGGCTGAGGCCAGGGACAGTGGCTCACTCCTGTAATTCCAGTATTTTGGGAGGCTGAGGTGGGTGGATCACCTGAGGTCAGGAGTTTGAGACCAGCCTGGCCAACATGGTGAAATTACATCTCTACTAAAAATACAAAATTAACTGGGCTTGGTGATGTGTGCCTGTAATGTCAGCTTCTCTAGAGCCTGAGGCAGGAGAATTGCTTAGAACCTGGGAGGCAGAGGTTGCAGTGAGCTGGGATAGCACCACTGCCCTCCATCTTGGGCGACAGAGGGAGACTGTCTTAAAAAAAAAAACGTAAAGAAGCCTGTTTGCCCATTCTGCCATGTGAGAACACAACACAAAGAAGGTGCCATCTATGAGGAATAGGCCCTCATCAGACACTGAGTATGCTGATGTCTTGATCTTGGACTCCTCAGGCTATAGAACTGTGAGCAATAAATCATGTTGTTTACAAATTGCCTAGTCCAAGTTATTTTGTTACAGAAGCCCAAATAGTTTAATACACAGTCCTTTCCTCATTGAATGTTAGTGCCTGTGTCAAAAATAAATATGATGATTTATTTTTGGAGTCTCTACTATATTCCATTGGTATATATGTGTATTTTCATGCCAGAACCACACTAATGTGATTATTGTAGCTTTGCAGTAAAATTTGAAATCAGAAAATATGAGGCATACAACTTTGTTCTTCTTTATCAAGATTATTTTGGCTACTCAGGGTCCCTTGAATTTCATAGGAATTTTTTGTACTTTTTTCTATTTCTGGAAAAAAAACTTTTGGGATTTGGATAGGGATGAATACTTTGGGTTGTATTGACATCTTAGCAATGTTACCTTTTCCACTTCACGAGCAAAGTTGTCTTTCCATTTATGTATATCTTTAATTTGTATCAGCAATGTTTTATAGTTTTCAATGTCTTAGTCTTTACGTCCTTGATTGTATTTATTATAAATACTTTATTATTTTCAATAAAGTTATTTTCTTGCTTTCTTTTTCAGATTCTTCAATGGTAGTGTATGGAAATGATTTTTTTTTCAGTCCCTGATGTAGCCATCCTAGCAACTGATTTTTATGTGGTAGTTTTTAAAAATCCTTCTACTTTGTTTAATTTATCTGTTAGTTCTAAAAAGTATTATGGGACAGAATTTTACCAGTAGGATACAGCACTGGGTAGAGTTGTGAGGCTCCCAATCCAGGCCCTAACTCTAAGACTATATTCCTAGACATACCTTGGGCCAAAAGGGAACCTACTGCCTTGAAGGAAAGACCCCATCCTGGCGGGATTTATCTCCTGCTAAGAGCCCTAGGGTCCAGAATAAACAGCAGTGATACCAAGGTAGTAAACTATGGGCCTTGAGCTCCTAGACATGCTGGCTTCAGGGGTAACCCAGCGTATTTGCAGCTGTGATGGCTATGGCAAAAGACTCCTGATGTCTGAGAAAAACAGAGGGAAAATTAAAGGGAACTTCATCTTGCACCTTAGGTGCCAGCTGGGCCACAGGGTGGCAGAGCGAAAAGTAGGCTCTTGGGGTCTCTGAGTCTAGGACTAGGCTCTTGGACAGCATTTCTGGACCTGCTTTGGGCCAGGGGACCCTCTTCCCATGTGTCAGGGGAGGGACCTGGTGAAAGGTGATTAGATTATGGCAGCAGATTTCCCCCATGCTGTTCTTATGATAGTGAGTGAGTTCTCATGAGATATGATAGTTTAAAAGTGTAGCACTTTCCTCATTCTCTTTCTCTCTTGCCACCATGTGAAACATCCCTTGCTTCCCCTTTGCTTTCCACCATGATTCTAAGTTTCCCGTGGCCAGTGCAGGGCATGTGGAACCGTGAGTCAATTAAACCTCTTTTCTTTATAAATTACCCAGTCTCAGGTAGTTCTTTATAGTAGTGTGAAAATGAACTAATACACCAGGCACACAGTAAGACAGACTTCACATTTTCTCATTTATTTGTGAGATGTACAAATCAAGACAGTGAACTAATAGAGAAGAAGACTAGAAAGTTGGTTATCAGAGGCTGGCAAGGATAGTAGAGGGTGAAGCGTATGTGGGGATGGTTAATGAGTAACAAAAAACAGAAAGAATGCAGAAGACTGGTCATTTACATTTACTTGGTTTTCTTGACTGGTCATTTACTTTTACTTGGTTACTGAACATATGGTCTGTTTTTCAGAATTCTTCCCAAGTTATATTAGCCAGTTTCAGTTTTTTTATTATTATTTTTTATTTTATAATACATCTGTGGGTGGTGTGGACTGGGAGTATCCTAGTCTTCCATGTTGCTGATGTCACTTTTCTCAAGTGAGTAGATTTAAATGCAATCCATAAATTGATGACTCTCAACTTGTCATCTCCAAGGAAGTCTTACTCTGAATCTCAAAGTCATATCCAATTGCCTTTCTGACATCTCATTTTCCAGTTAACTCATAATCTGCCTGATTGTCTTAAATTTACTCCTGCTACCTGCTTTCGCTGAAATTTTGCATTTCTAAAAATGTATAAAAATGAAATCATGCATTATATGTACTTTTTTTCTGTCTTCTCTCATTCAGCATAATTATTTTCAGATTAATCTATATTGTAGCATTCATTAATGATTTATTCCTTTTTTATTGCTTAGTAATAAGTATGAATATAACACATCCATTCACTTGATAGAAATTTGGGTTGTTTCCACTTTCTGGCTATTAAAGCAGTGAACATTAATATAGGAATCTTTGCATGAACATAGGCTTATATTGTTCTTGGCTAAACCCTTAAGAATGGAATGATTATATCATTTTTTAATCCAAAAAAAGCCTGCCAAACTTAAATAAAATAGTTGTATGATTCAGATATCTTATTACTTAGTCAGCTTTGATAGTTTGTGATTCTAGGAATTTTTTCATTTCATCTATGTTTTCTAATTTGTTGTTACACAATTGTTAGTTTTATTTCCTCATAACCCTTTTATTTATCTAAGGTTAGTAATAAAGTCCTCACTTTTATTTCCAGTTGCAGTAATTGAATATTTTGTCTCTCTCCATCTGTCTCTCCCCTTCCTTCTCTCTTTTTGCTCTCTCTACTTTTCTTGGTGAGTCTAACTATAAGTTTGTCAATCCTCCTCATCTTTACAAAGTACAAAGCATTATTTTGTTGATTTTTCTCTACATTTTTCTATTCTCCAATGTATTTACTTTCACTCCAGTCTTTACTGTTTCCTTCCTTCTGTTTACTTTGAGTTTAGTTGGCCTTTCTTTTTTATTTATTTATTTATTTTTAAATTATACTTTAAGTTCAGGCAGGGGTACATGTGCAGAATGTGCAGGTTTGTTACATAGGTAAACACATGCCGTAGTGGTTTGCTGCATCCATCCCCCACCCATCACCTACATTAGGTATTTCTCCTAATGTTATTGCTCCCCAATCCCCCCACCCCCTGCTAACCCTCCCCTATCCCCCACTCTCTGGCAGGCCCCAGTGTATGATGTTCCCCTCCCTGTGTCCATGTGTTCTCATTGTTCAGCACCCACTTATGAGTGAGAACATGCAGGTTTGGTTTTCTGTTCTTGTGTTAGTTTGCTGAGAATGATGGTTTTCAGCATCATCCATGTCCATGCAAAGGACATGAACTCAAATCGTTTTTTATGGCTGCATAGTATTCCATGGTGTATATGTACTGCATTTTCCCTGTCCAGTCTATCATCGATGGGCATTTGGGTTGGTTCCAAGTCTTTGGTATGGTAAACAGTGCTGCAATGAACATTCGTGTGCATGTGTCCTTATAGTAGAATGATTTATAATCCTTTGGATATATACCCAGTAATGGGATTGCTGGGTCAAATGGTATTTCTGTTTTTAGGTCCTTGAGGAATCACCACACTGTCTTCCACAATGGTTGAAATAATTTACACTTCCACCAACAGTGTAAAAGCATTCCTGTTTCTCCACATCCTCTCCAACATCTGTTGTCTCCTGATTTTTTTAATGATCGCTATTCTAACTGGCATGAGATGGTATCTCAATGTGGTTTTGATTTGCGTTTCCCTAATTACCAGTGATGATTAGCTTTTTTTCATATGTTTGTTGGCTGCATAAATGTCTTCTTTTGAAAAGCGTCTGTTCATATCCTTTGGGCAAAGGGTATGATGAGGTTTTTTTTTTTTTTTTTTCTTGTATATTTGTTTAGGTTATTTGTAGATTCTGGGTATTAGCCCTTTGTCAGATGGGTGGATTGCAAAATTTTTTTCCCATTCTGTTGGTTGCCGCTTCACTCTGATTGTTTCTTTAGCTGTGCAGAAGCTCTTAAATTTAATTAGATCCTTTTGGGAAAAGCAGCAAAGGAGAAAGGGCTTACATAGTGCCTACATAAATTGGTTATGAGTAACATGTAAACAGGGAACAACAAACTGCGGAAGGCCACAGGAGGCCTCTGAGGAGGAAGGCCTCTGTATGCCTCATGTTCTGGTGCAGGGTCACCTAGGATCTGTTACCATAAACATTGAGCTCAAGGAAATAAAACCCCTTCATAGCACTATGACGTAGCCAGACTTGTAAGCTCCTTGTAAGGCCCGAGTTCCATCAGCTGCACATAGGTAATAAGTTAAAGATAACCACATGTTTTTGTTTTGTGAAACTTTCAAACCACCACTGTTGTCTGTCTTTAGAATGATATACCAGTTCTGGCTCACCGATTCACTCCACCATCACCCTCTCCCTATCACTTCACCCCTACCCTGTAGATCAAAGTGATTGTAACTCCAGTAAATAGAATGGATGATCAGAGCTTGGGTCCTTCCCTGCCTCCTCCAAAGTAATAAAGTGATGGCCCCCTGGTCCCACTGTCTCTCTTAATCTGTCATTTTCATTCCTTTGTCACCACCAAACTCAGGGTACCCACGGGTGATGTAGGGCTGGCTCTCTACATTCTAGTACCCAGTGTGGGGCTCATGGATCCCTACATTCTGGCCCCTGCTGTGTGGGGCTCATGGATACCCTAAAGATCTCATTTGTCTATTTTGGCTTTTGTTGCCATTGCTTTTGGTGTTTTAGTCATGAAGTCCTTGCCCACGTCTGTGTCCTGAATGGTATTGCCTAGGTTTTCTTCTAGGGTTTTTATGATGTTAGGTCTTAGGTTTAAATCTTTAATCCATCTGGAGTTAATTTTTGTATAAAGTGTAAGGACTTTTTTACTTCCTTGTCATAAAATTTTAGTAATTTATTCCTCATATAGGCTTACAGCTGTGTATTTCATGCTAAGCACTACTTCAGTTGCATCCCGTAAGTTTTGTTGTGTTTTCTTTTTCTTCATCTCTAGATATTTTCTAATTTTCTTTATTATTTCTTGTTTGACTACTGTCCTTTGAGTTGTGGGTTTAATTTCTACATATTTGTGAATTTCTCTCCTTTTCTTCTGTCATTGTTTTCTAATTTTATTTCATTGTGGTTGGAGAACATACTTTGTATGATGTTAGGTCTATCAAATTTTTTATCATGAGGTATCTTTGAGTTTATCCCCTCTGGAATTTGTTCAGCTTTTGGTGTTTCCAAAAAATCAAATTTTGGAAGTTTTTAACCATTACCTTTTTCTTTCTGTTACTCTAATTATATAATCTCAATTGACCTAACTTGAAGTTTCCTAATTCTTTTTCTGACTGTTCAACTCTGCTGTTTAGCCCATCTAGTGCATTTTTCATTTCAGTTATTGTGGTTGTCCACTCCAGATTTTCTATTTGGTTCTTTTTTAAGAAAACATTCTGCTTCTTTAAACTTTAAGTTCAGGGGTACATGTGCAGGTTTGTCACATAGGTAAACTTGTTTCATGGGGGTTTGTTGTACAGATAAGTTCATCACCCAGGTATTAAGCCTAGTACTGATTATTTTTCCTGATCCAGTATTTACTATTTTGTTAGACACTGCCCTCATACTTTCCTATAGTTCTTCTGACATGGTTTCCTTTAACTCTTTGAAGTAACTGATTTAGAATAGTTGACTTAGACTTTGTCTGTTCAGTCCAATGTCTAGATTTCCTCAAGAACACTTCTCTACTGACTGCTTTTCCCTCTTGTGGCCATATATTCTTATTTCTTTGCATGCTTCATTATATATTTTTGATGGAAACTGGACACCTTAAATTATGTGGCAGCTCTGGAAATCAGATTTGCCACTTGCCCTAAGTTTTGTTATTGTGATTATTTAGCATCGTTTGAGGAATATTTCTGATCTAAATCTGTAAAGTCTATTTTTTGTTGTAATGAAGTTCTGGATCAGTTCACTTAGTGGTCAGAAAACTCTTGGAGAGATTTTCTTAAACACTGGGAAGCAGAGTCTCCCAGTTTTTGCCAAGGGCCTCTGAGTATGTGTTGGGCATGCCTTTAACATTCAGCCAGTCAGCATGTTTGTAAATTCCATGGGATTTTCTGTGTAAACAATGACATAATCTGCAAATAAAGACAGTTTTACTTTTTTCTGCCATTTTCCATGTGTTTTATTTCTTCTACTTTCCTTATTGCACTGGCTAGAAACCCCAGTACTACTGGATAGAACAGAAACATCCATTTTTTTTTTTTTAACCGTTAGGGGGAATGCATTCATTCTTCAACTATTAAGAATAATGTCGGGCCGGGCGCAGTGGTTCAAGCCTGTAATCCCAGCACTTTGGGAAGGCCGAGGCAGGTGGATCACGAGGTCAAGAGATTGAGACCATCCTGGTCAACATGGTGAAACCCCGTCTCTACTAAAAATACAAAAAATCAGCTGGGCATGGTGGCGCATGCCTGTAATCCCAGCTACTCAGGAGGCTGAGGCAGGAGAATTGCCTGAACCCAGGAGGCGGAGGTTGCGGTGAGCCGAGATCGCGCCATTGCACTCCAGCCTGGGCAACAAGAGCGAAACTCCATCTCAAAAAAAAAAAAAAAGAATAATGTCAGCTGCTGTTAACTGTTAACACATTCCGTGTTTGATTTCCTGTTCCTGTTTCAGTTTGCTGAGAATGATGGTTTCCAGGTTAATCTATGTCCCTACAGAGGACATTAACTCATCGTTTTTGATGGCTGCATGATATTCCATGGTGTATATGTGCCACATTTTCCCTGTCTAGTCTATCATCGATGGGCATTTGGGTTGGTTCCAGGTCTTTGCTATTGTAAACAGTGCTGCAATGAACATTCGTGTACATGTGTCCTTATAGTAGAATGATTTATAATCCTTTGGATATATACCCAGTAATGGGATTGCTGGGTCAAATGGAATTTCTATTTCTAGGTCCTTAAGGAATCGCCACACTGTCTTCCACAATGCTTGAACTAATTTACACTCCCACCAACAGTGTAAAAGTGTTCCTATTTCTCCACATTCTCTCCAGCATCTGTTGTCTCTAGATTTTTTAATGATCGCCATTCTAACTGGTGTGAGATGGTATCTCAATGTAGTTTTGATTTACATTTCTCTAATGACCAGTGATGATGAGCATTTTTTCATATGTTTGTTGGCCTCATGTATGTCTTCTTTTGTAAAGTGTCTGTTCATATCCTTCACCCACTTTTGAATGGGCTTGTTTGTTTTTTTCTTGTAAATCTGTTTTAGTTCTTTGTAAATTCTGGATATCAGCCCTTTGTCAGATGGGTAGACTGCAAAAATTTTTTCCCATTCTGTTGGTTGCCGATTCACTCTAATGACTGTTTCTTTTGCTGTGCAGAAGCTGTGGAGTTTTATTAGGTCCCGTTTGTCTATTTTGGCTTTTGTTGCCAATGCTTTTGGTATTTTGGTCATGAAGTCCTTGCCTACGCCTATGTCCTGGGTGGTTTTGCCTAGATTTTCTTCTAGGGTTTTTATGGTGTTAGGTCTTATGTTTAAGTCTTTAATCTATCTGGAGTTAATTTTAGTGTAAGGTGTCAGGAAGGAATCCAGCTTCTGCTTTCTGCACATGGCTAGCCAGTTTTGCCAACACCATTTATTAAACAGGGACTCCTTTCCCCATTGCTTTTTTTGTCAGGTTTGTCAAAGATCGGATGGTTGTAGATATGTTGTGTTGCCTCCGAGGCCTCTGTTCTGTTCCATTGGTCTATATCTCTGTTTTGGTACCAGGACCATGCTGTTTTGATTACTGTAGCCTGGTAGCATAGTTTGAAGTCCGGTAGTGTGATGCCTCCCACTTTTTTCTTTTTGCTGAGAATTGGCTTGGCTATGCTGGCTCTCTTTTGGTTCCATATGAAGTTTAAGGTGTTTTTTCCCAGTTCTTTGAAGAAGGTCATTGGTAGCTTGATGGGGATAGCGTTGAATCTATAAATTACTTTGGGCAGTATGGCCATTTTCATGATATTAATTCTTCCTAACCATGAACATGGAATGTTTCTCCATCTGTTTGTGTCCTCTCTGATTTCATTGAGCAGCGGCTTGTAGCTCTCTTTGAAGAGGTCCTTTACGTTCCTTGTTAGTTGTAATCC